TACACTATACAGTACAGTCAGAATCTGGTACACTAATTAGTAACACTATACAGTACAGTCTGAATCTGGTACACTATACAGTACAGTCTGAATCTGGTACACTAATTAGTAACACTATACAGTACAGTCTGAATCTGGTACACTAATTAGTAACACTATACAGTACAGTCTGAATCTGGTACACTAATTAGTAACACTATACAGTACAGTCAGAATCTGGTACACTATACAGTACAGTCAGAATCTGGTACACTAATTAGTAACACTATACAGTACAGTCTGAATCTGGTACACTATACAGTACAGTCTGAATCTGGTACACTAATTAGTAACACTATACAGTACAGTCAGAATCTGGTACACTAATTAGTAACACTATACAGTACAGTCTGAATCTGGTACACTATACAGTACAGTCTGAATCTGGTACACTAATTAGCAACACTATACAGTACAGTCAGAATCTGGTACACTATACAGTACAGTCTGAATCTGGTACACTATACAGTACAGTCTGAATCTGGTACACTATACAGTACAGTCAGAATCTGGTACACTATACAGTACAGTCTGAATCTGGTACACTATACAGTACAGTCTGAATCTGGTACACTATACAGTACAGTCAGAATCTGGTACACTAATTAGTAACACTATACAGTACAGTCTGAATCTGGTACACTAATTAGTAACACTATACAGTACAGTCAGAATCTGGTACACTAATTAGTAACACTATACAGTACAGTCAGAATCTGGTACACTAATTAGTAACACTATACAGTACAGTCTGAATCTGGTACACTATACAGTACAGTCAGAATCTGGTACACTATACAGTACAGTCAGAATCTGGTACACTAATTAGTAACACTATACAGTACAGTCTGAATCTGGTACACTATACAGTACAGTCTGAATCTGGTACACTAATTAGTAATACTATTCAGTACAGTTAGAATCTGGTACACTAATTAGTAACACTATTCAGTACAGTACAGTCTGAATCTGGTACACTATACAGTACAGTCTGAATCTGGTACACTATACAGTGCAGTCTGAATATGGTACACTAATTAGTAACACTACAGTACAGTCAGAATCTGGAACACTAATTAGTAACACTACAGTACAGTCAGAATCTGGTACACTAATTAGTAACACTACAGTACAGTCAGAATCTGGTACACTAACTAGTAACACTACAGTACAGTCAGAATCTGGTACACTAATTAGTAACACTACAGTACAGTCAGAATCTGGTACACTAACTAGTAACACTACAGTACAGTCAGAATCTGGTACACTAATTAGTAACACTACAGTACAGTCAGAATCTGGTACACTAATTTGTAACACTACAATACAGTCAGAATCTGGTACACTAATTAGTAACACGACAGTACAGTCAGAATCTGGTACACTAATTAGTAACACTACAGTACAGTCAGAATCTGGTACACTAATTTGTAACACTACAGTACAGTCAGAATCTGGAACACTAATTAGTAACACTGCACTTTATAGTTGGCTATATTCACAGAGGAAAAATTAAATACCAAGCAAACATTTTTATATTTAATTACAATTAGGAAAATACATGCTGTGCTTGTATACATTTCTACACAAATTGAAAGACAAATTTGAAATTAAATATTCATGAAGTAACCCAAACCAGACTGCTGTGTTCTGTAAAATATAACAACTATATAGCTTAATGTGACAAGTTTATGAGTAAATGTCAGTCTTTTTACAGATTTGCAAGAGAATTGAACTTTTAACAAGAGCCCAGGTAAGTCAAACATTTTTTAATGCTGTCAACTTCATCTATAACTTATTTAATTTGAAAAATATGTAAATATTTACATAATAGAATCTAGTATTGAATCAAAGGATAAAGTATTGACATTACCTACTTTAAATCTAATAAACCTATCCCAACATTTATGTGTGTCTTAATTTTATTATTATAATCGTTCATCTTTGAAATGCCACCCTTGGAGGAGTAATACAGCTTAGGTCATATGAAGACGATGTCCACAGATAATGGGGCCAATTTGGAAATGTTTTTATAGTGTCATCACACTGAAATGTCATAATATAGATACAGAGCATCTTTGCATTTTTTCTAGAATACATAGATATATTTCTTAATAGAGAAATTCGGCCCTGGGCAATTATGCATGTAAAATCAAGTAATAAAGGATTCATCAACAACAGCAACTATCTGTGGACAGCTTCACTAGCAAACTTTAAAATTATCACATAACATACTGATAGTAAATTTATTGATATTTTATTGTCCTGTAATAAGCTCACCCCATGACTTTGAGTAACTGGGCTTACTGCAGTGTTTTTGTTCTATGAAATGTTAATTCTCTTCATGAAAGCTGTATCAACCTGTATCAAACATGACAGTGTATGGCTCGGTTAATAAACTTTCACTTCAATGAATGAGGCTCAATACCCCAATCTGACGATTTCCATACTACATCAGTCTTCTCCAGCTTCTTTGGCTTCAAGTGATAGCCTGATAATCAAAACTAATAAGAATAATTAATTGGTTCAGAAATTAATTAACTGATACCAAAATTACAATGATTAATTGCTGGAGGTCAGAAATGATTCAGATTATCACAGATTCAAAAGTAATGTGGTTCATTTAGATTTCATTAATAACAAGCTGAGGAGCTTTTATCAGTGTTGTTCAATATGTAGAAAATTTACACATCAGGTAAAAGTTTCTAATCAACACTCAATTTGAAAAATGCCAAAAAAATTTATGCAAGAAAAAGCCAACTCATGGCCCCAAAAAAGCACCTGTCCATGTGTCCTGACATTTTTGCATTACAGATGAGTGATTATTATTAGTAACTTGTTCATCGGACCAGTCTATTTATTTTGTGTAGTCCCATATACTAATAAAAGGAAACTGACTACTGAACCATTAGCAATTACACATTCTTTTTGTGAGATATTGTTGTGTAAAATTGTAGATTTTCAGTATTTAAGCAGGCAGGCTTATGCCTGTCATGTGTCAGTAGAATCAGAGTTATCAATAAGCAGGAGACATCTTGGTTATGTGAATGGAAATGGCCCATCACATTTCTTTATTTTACCAAACAACCAAAGAAAACGAAGACAGTTACCATGAGACAACCATCTTCAAAGAAAACGGTAACCAAGATGATCTTTTGCAAATCATTCCTTATTGTTATGTTATCCATAGGTTTTTCAAAAACCATATCGCAACTTCTTACGAAAGACAGATCCTTTATTGCGTGATATTTACACATTGTCATCGGATGCATGTCTAGTTGGTCCATACACATTCTGTTGGTAAGTCTCAGCAAAATAATACCAGACATTGACAACTGATTCACAACCGAACAGTTTTACAGTTTGAAACATGATGTGAGTAATCTTTGCATGGTTCTGAAAATTTCTGATGCAAATTTTCTGTACTAATGAATTCTTTGATTGATTAGGTGTTTGTTTGGTTTATAGCCCTTTGAACGATCACGTTCATTTTAAGTCCCTTTGTAGTAGCTGGTGCCTACCTCATAGTACAACATATGGGATACACATCATATGCCATCCAGAGCTATTAAAGATAAAGAGTCTTGTCTATGAACACAACCGTTTCAGCACAAACAGGTCCGTTTCTCAGCTTTCACAGGAAGTGACAGTTTGTGTTTCTCTGGAAGTTTAAAAACAAATCTGTCTGTGCTGATGCTATTCCAACTAGTCCAGTTCTGCTGTTCTGATTATGAGACAGAAACGAGAACTAATTCCTATGATTGCAGACCTCATCATGATCGCCCATTTATACATTTCATTTTATACTTAATATTTATAACTTGTTAAACAATTATTTTCAATTAATCAATATCAACCTAGCTATTTTCTTGTAAGTTCTTTTCCTGGGCAAAACGCATCAATGAATTTTTATGCACTTAAACTCTATACCAGCGCTCTGAAGTCTGACTTTTTTATTAATCACGTGTACCATACAAAATTCCTACACATATCTTATGATTTGTGCATCGTGGATAATTGTATATATGCTAAAATATTTGCCATGTAAATACAAGGAATCAAGACATACATCCCATCGAACATGTACATTTAGTTTTTGTATTTCATCAAAATGTTCCAGTAGACAGTCTAGCCTTCATTAGGATCAACAATATTTCACACTTTCAGTTTTACGAGTAATTTCACTTACATATAGATTGACGTACACAGTGTTTTCAAGTTTCAGCTTAACCATTTCTGTGTATATAATTAAAGCATATGTCAAGGATGACCTGGATTAAGGAAATGCGCAGATTTGGATAAAGGATCAAACATTTAAGTACATGTGTACGAGCTCAGTTGGATTTCTAACTTCGGGTACTTGACCATACCGAAGTAAATTTAGAAATTCTGAATCCATGACAGCTTGAATAACAACACCAGTAGAAATCCAAGCTATCCTCTAACAAACTGACACAGAACATCAATGTTTACACATGTTTCATACTCAATAAAATGTCCCAGTTCGGCTTTATCAGGCAGTAATTAAGACACTAGTCGTAGTCAGGTACAATATTCCCTCGGTTTGTATCATCAAGGGGTGTATGCCAGAAGATGAGTATAGATACAAGATATTACAATCATAAATCTACAAATAAACAATGGATCTCCATTCAGAGGCCGTGGAACATGAAGCATTGTCAACTTGTACTTAGCTTCTAAAACGTAGCTTTTAGGGGTCATGGTCACGTATGTTAACGATACAGGTAATACCACACGTTTTTGCCAGCCTCACTTCCAAAGTAGAAACTCAAAATAAACACCTGTGCTTTAGTGTTTTATTTCCATCTCGACTAGTAAACATGTACAGATGCGTTACCCCTTAGGCGCCCCTCAAATAGCTATCTGGTTTGTTTGGCCGCCATATTGAGTCCCCATTTCCCTTTCAATTCCCTCCAAAAACTGATGAAATAACTACTAACCTTGGTATTGTTATACATTTAGTGTTCAGTTCCTGTGTCGTTATGGCCTTTTCTAACTCATCTAGTCCTCCGGTTTTCTTAAGCTTTTTTACCAGACTTTTAACAGCCTTTTCACTCCATTTATCTTCGCGTTCCGAACTGTCTCCCTTTTTAAAACCGAGGAGCCTTTTGATGATCGGAGGGGTGAACGGTGACATCGCCGTCATCCTGGAAAAGAGCTAATCCCACGGTTACCCGGGGTTCCAGTTAACCTGTCGACTTGTCCTCTTTTGAGAAAATGACACTCAACTTACGATAAACAAACAACGGATTCCATGCAGACTTGATATCGTTGTAGCTCCTCGGTCAATCAAAGGCGACCCCTAGCGGCAAACAATTAGGTACGTTTGTACCGTAATTTCCTATTTATAAACTCCTGGGATTACAAAACTGTATGTAACTCGGTAAACATAGCTATGATCAATGTTTTATGATTATCGGAATTTTTTTACGTACATAGAATTTGTCCATCTTATTTAAATGATCAGTCATGTTACCGTATAATCTCGAAATAAAGGCTGCCGCGCCAACTCTCGAACTACAGCACTTCATATGGAACTGTTTTGATATTCCCACTTAGAGAATGTGGACAAAATATATCGTATACATTAGCTATACATATATAGCTTAAATAACAGAATCATGTGAGGGCTTAAAACTTTCGCAGACGAGAGCGATATTCCATAGAATACGTTGCCATTTCTCCACCTGGTCAGCGTTTTCACACTTTCTGTTTGAACTTCGTTTCTTGTTTGATATGAACTTACAATTTCTTAATATTTCCAAGTTACAAACTTTTAGTCACACTCCACAATTTTATGAAAATTTCCCATGTTTTATATTTTATTGATACGTATTCTATATTGATAACTAATAATGGAACTATAACACTGAAATTGAAAATACGGGAACGCGTACTTCTCTGTTTCGTGACCGCGGTAGGGGATACAATTCACTTCAAAACAAATTCTTCGTAAGGAATCGGAACATTATACATATTTGTACATAGACTTTGTTACGAGTCTCCAACACACATTAGGAAACACTTTGTATGAAAACCGTTTGAGATCTTCGGATGAAACTTAAATAACATCACACAATGAGGTTGAGTAATGTACAAAAACAGATCATTGTGATATCAACTGCACTGTTTCCTGTATAGTCTGGTCCCGAACATAAATTAAATCATCAAATCACATTTCGACGAAGCTTAAAACTTAACAACAGCACAAAAAATATGTTACTATGACCTCGAGGTCAAAGATCAGTTAAATGCATTCCTTTCAGTACATTATGGTCAACACCATAACCTTTGAAATATTAAAGGCATTTTGACGAGAGTACAAGCTCGTATAATGCAGTTTATTGATGTTATATCACTGTAACCTTTTAGCTCTTGGACATATGGGCAATATTCAAATCCCAAACACATAAAAAGGTTTTATGAGCCTCGGTGAGCAAACAGGCCCCTCTTTACCCCACACTGTATCTCTCTCGCTCCCTTCACTTCATACTTTTTCCCCTCTACTTATTTCCTGTCCTCTCTCGTCCGCTGGAATGCCGACAAAAAAGCAATAATAGACGTACAATCTGATATATAAGTAAATAAATAATTGACGAGGAGCAAAATTAAAACTTTTATAAAAAATCTTTTTCGTATAAAATAAATTTTTAAGACACTAACTCATATAGCTACGTTTGGACATGATTTCGGGTCAAATTGTGGATGACAACATCAAACGTTTCGTCGTTCCATTTTTAATTCGTAACGCAATGTCAATTGTCCGTATCGTGACGTCACAATCAAACTGACGTAGCCAGTGTGATGAAAACATACACAACAACTCAATACGTAATACAATAAATAAACCCTAAAGACTATTCATTATGTGACGAAAATAAACTAGGCCAATGATAAAGGGTCGAAGTTGTTGAATTAGAGGCATATTAATCAGCACGCTTTTGTCATTCTAACGGGTGTTGTGGAGCGTAAAACACAATGGTGTATGTAAACAGAGACGTGTGTTATATATGTCCCGGATATATTTTTTTCAAAGTAGCACCATATGACATTAAGTCATTTGTTTCTGAGTTTTAATTAGCCGTACTTGTAATTATTACCGAATATTTTAGTTTATCCTCAGATGAAATGGCTTTATTAATGTTTTAACGTTAGAATTACTTTTGATGACAAGCCAAGACAATCACCGTAAGAAGTGTGGAATTACTAGGAAACACACAGAGTTTTCTTCAGCAAGAAAAGACTATTTTCCTAATCGGCTATTAATTATACACCCTGGGTTATCAATCCACTTAGCCACTGTATACACCCTGGGCTATCAATCCACTTAGCCACTGTATACACCCTGGGCTATCAATCCACATAGCCACTGTATACACCCTGGGCTATCAATCCACTTAGCCACTGTATACACCCTGGGCTCCCAATCCACTTAGCCACTGTATACACCCTGGGTTATCAATCCACTTAGCGACTGTATACACCCTGGGCTATCAATCCACTTAGCCACTGTATACACCCTGGGCTCTCAATCCATTTAGCCACTGTATACACCCTGGGTTATCAATCCACTTAGCGACTGTATACACCCTGTGCTATCAATCCACTTAGCCACTGTATACACCCTGGGCTATCAATCCACTTAGCGACTGTATACACCCTGGGCTATCAATCCACTTAGCCACTGTATACACCCTGGGCTATCAATCCACATAGCCACTGTATACACCCTGGGTTATCAATCCATTTAGAGACTGTATACACCCTGGGCTCTCAATCCATTTAGCGACTGTATACACCCTGGGTTATCAATACATTTAGAGACTGTATACACCCTGGGCTCTCAATCCATTTAAAGACTGTATACACCCTGGGTTATCAATACATTTAAAGACTGTATACACCCTGGGTTATCAATACATTTAAAGACTGTATACACCCTGGGTTATCAATACATTTAAAGACTGTATACACCCTGGACTCTCAATACATTTAGCTACTGTATACACCCTGGCCTCTCAATCCATTTAGAGACTGTATACACCCTGGGTTATCAATACATTTAAAGACTGTATACACCCTGGGTTATCAATACATTTAGAGACTGTATACACCCTGGGCTATCAATCCATTTAGAGACTGTATACACCCTGGGTTATCAATACATTTAGAGACTGTATACACCCTGGGTTATCAATCCATTTAAAGACTGTATACACCCTGGGTTATCGATACATTTAAAGACTGTATACACCCTGGGTTATCCTGGGTTATCAATACATTTAAAGACTGTATACACCCTGGGTTATCAATACATTTAAAGACTGTATACACCCTGGACTCTCAATACATTTCTACTGTATACACCCTGGCCTCTCAATCCATTTAGAGACTGTATACACCCTGGGTTATCAATACATTTAAAGACTGTATACACCCTGGGTTATCAATACATTTAGAGACTGTATACACCCTGGGTTATCAATACATTTAGAGACTGTATACACCCTGGGTTATCAATCCATTTAAAGACTGTATACACCCTGGGTTATCAATCCATTTAAAGACTGTATACACCATTTGGGTATACACCCTGGGTTATCAATCCATTTAAAGACTGTATACACCCTGGGTTATCAATACATTTAGAGACTGTATACACCCTGGGCTATCAATCCATTTAGAGACTGTATACACCCTGGGCTCTCAATACATTTAAAGACTGTATACACCCTGGGTTATCAATACATTTAAAGACTGTATACACCCTGGGTTATCAATCCATTTAGAGACTGTATACACCCTGGGCTCTCAATCCATTTAAAGACTGTATACACCCTGGGTTATCAATCCATTTAACTACTGTATACACCCTGGGCTCTCAATACATTTAAAGACTGTATACACCCTGGGTTATCAATCCATTTAACTACTGTATACACCCTGGGCTCTCAATACATTTAGAGACTGTATACACCCTGGGTTATCAATACATTTAGCTACTGTATACACCCTGGCCTCTCAATCCACTTAACAAATGTATATACTCCTTTTTATGTAAATCAAATATCTATATAATTCCGCGTGATCCAGCTTAAACAGGCAAGAATGTATTATTTAGAATACATGATAAGGTGATATGTTTATAAATTCAGAAGAACAAAATTAATGAGCTATAACTTTGGAAATAACGCACCAAAGAAGGCTTCGCACTAAAGCGTCTCCTGCAAACACAGTCGTGTTTTTTGTCGCTTAACTGCACTGGGTTATAACACCCATAACATTGATTATTGTTATAACCTACGTGTGATATGGCCTAGCGCGCTGTGATTGGCTGAGAATCTCCATTCTTTTAGTTATGACGTTATGTCGTCATGACATGACGTCATTTGCATTATGATGTAATCAAAGAATGAAAGTTTATATGCTACGCAGAACCTTACATTCGTCTCCATTTCCTATGAGATTTATGGAAATCGCCAGGCGCTTTCATTTTAACTGTCGCTTGTGATGTCGATAAGGATGTCTCTTTGTAACCTCTGTTTACGCCGCCTTTACAAGAATCACGTATACAGATTACCTCTTTCGAACAAGATATAAAACATACCTCGGTAATAACATTAAATCTAGCCCCTGTTATATGTTATAAATTACAATACCCTATCAAATAGATAAAAACGGACATGTTTTAAGACGTGCGAGTAGAATAAGACCTGGGCCCGATATTATGAAACAATCTTAAACTAAGTTTCAACGCGGTCATTTACATAGGATGTCTCTTTTCTGATAATGACGTTGTTTAACACAGCTTTAAACTTACGATCTCGGAGCCAGGTGCACCACCAGGAGAAGCGTCTTCCGCTTCATCGCTTCGCCCTATCAAACGATGTTCTCCACTGAGAATCATGTTAATAACAACTTAACCACTAGGTAAATGAATGACTGTTTAATGACAAATGTCTTCGTTGGTTGTGTTATGTAATGATGAAGATACACCGCGGATACAGAGGAGTCTGTATCACTGATTCCGGTTGTGGGAGTTTTGTGAATGCTATGTATGTGTGATGAGGTCACACGACTTTCGCAGTAGGATGTTTTGATACCAGGTGAAAAACTACCCGCAATACACCACTCGGCTGCAAAATTGTTAGCTTGATCGGTTGAGCATAAGACTACAGATGCATTCGGAACACCTCTAATACGTCTCTCGTTTGCTGACATAGAAACAGACACCAATTCGATTGACTCTAAAATCAAATACCCATGAAGAGTCAATGATGACGAGACCTCCCTGTAAGTCAGAATTTATAATGTGATCAGTTCAGCGTCAGTGGAATAGTTGCACGTAACTATCGCGGCTGTGCATTCGAGTATTGTCGGCCCCAGAAATTCCATCATCACATATGTATAGGCCAACGCCACTTCGAATCACACAGGAAGCGGGGGACATATATTCATAAGTGTTCATAAAAGTATTTCGGAACTTACAACACCAGGAATCGTTCACTGAAAAGTAAGGATAATTTTTATTACCCGTCACCATATACACAACGAGACAAACACAAAATGGACGTTGCAAGTGAAATCAGAATAATTTATCAGGTATCGTTACAAAATAGCGACAGAAAGTAACTGTACATGGAGGAGTCTGACCCAAATATAAAATAACCGAATTAGAAACATCAAGAAAAACCAACATAATTTTGTTAGAAATCCAAGATACACGCATTCGTTTGTAGAACATTTTTTAGGGTCCCAAACTGAAATCAACACTATATAGGGGCCAAAAGGAACTTGTGCATACATATGCAAAATTTGCCGAATAAATAGCGACAAGAAACCTCGGTTTCAATCAAAACCAAGGACGTTTCTTTATTGTTATTTCTATGCTGCATTTCTAAAACTGTTCCTGTACTGATACGGGCTCTGAAAATCAACACATGAAATCTAACAAGGTTCCTGGAGCACTTATAAATTAGTAGCAACAACAGAAGTCGCCGACAGATCGACGAAAGACGGAATACGAACGAAAAGCGAAATAGATGGTCCATCATCTGGCCGTCTCCGCACTGTGTATACAAACTGAAACAAACCCCTGGTGATTGGGTAAGGGCCGGAGACGTCAAAATGTTTGTTTTCTACGGTGACTGACTCAGGAAATCTTAATATCGCTTTGACTAATGGAACGCGAGATTGCGATACCACGATACCAAGAAGTAAGACAACGACACCACGAAGCGAGACCACGAAACTGCGAAGCGAGTATGGTTATGGTTGGGGTACCAATTCGCGGTATCGTAGTCTCGCTTCAACGCACCATGGTCTCGCAATAACGCGTTCCAGTAAACAAAACGATGTCACAAATCAGCCATAATAGCTTTCACTTAAAAAAGAAAAACGTGCGTTCCCTCTAACCTGGAATCCTGAACACATGTCTTCTGAGATTCGTATCCATGTGTCGAGTCATATCGATGTCCGCTCCGTTGTTCCCTGATGCAAGCAGCGAACGCCCCAGTGTCCTGTCGAATACACTCTGTTTCTTCGGACGTGTTGGGGACTAGGGGATCTAGCCCCGCATGTTGTAATGTCATCACACCAGAATAGTAGCTGGGGATCACTATTCAATCTTGTCCAGAATGTAAAAACAATAAGATCACGTCGACATGGATATGGAGTTTACAACATACAAACACTATCGTCCGGAGGGGACATTCCAAGATGGCATCGTGTAAACAACCGAGCAGTGGTGTACTGGATTTCAATGTAGTTATGTTTCTGAATCAATATTTACAGGATCGTTACACATACTTTATATGTAATATGTGATGGACATCAGCACATAATCATATATAAGTATATAAACTAGAAAGTGACATTTTGACAACGAACTGTTGACGTCCTCAAAAATGAAACAATTTGTGCTACATAGGGAGATATTTAGAGAAATTGAACGATGCTAAGTTAATCCTGCGTATGTTGTGTGTTATAGTGTAAATACAAATAATTTTGTATTGAGTTCACTCGATGTTTCCTATTTCTGTTACTCTGGACCACAACCTGTAGACATTTGGGTACTTAAGTTTAAGTTATTGACTTTTTGTAGCGCTCTTTGTTATATATAAATACACACCCATAACACGGAATGAAGCGTATTGAAGAGCTGTCCGAATATAAAATGTAATGTAAAAACAGTAACGATGGTTGTTTATCCCATGCACACAACACAAATTCAATAGAGATAAAGAAAAAAAGGTAATAAAATTCTATGACAGTTACAAGAGACACTTAGTGTATATAACATACTTATTCAGCAGAAAGAGAGTATATTCTTACCAATTGTCATTAAACAATAAGCACTAATGACTCAATCTAACACAGTATTGTGTTATAGTGTAGCCTTGGCCATGACTTTATACGTCATTGGAGACCGGCTGCATGACGGGTGTCGTCGATGAAGCAGAAGACGCTTATTCTTCCGGGACATTTGATCTTATTCTTTTTGTTCTTTCTTTTGACCGTAGGTTGCCGTATTTTGTTTTTAATTTGAGTTTTTTTTAATTAGAGTCTGTTGACATTTCAGTAGTATCATGTTTGGTTTTGATTGGGCTTTTATTTTGGAACGAGACACTAGAAAGAACCACTACGAAAAAGCTAAAGGAGAAATTTTCTCTTGTCGAACAGGTTATGGCAAGGATTGCTTGGTTGTTTGTTTGGTTGGGTGGATGGTGGGTTGGTGGGTTTGTTACATGATTTTCGTCTCCTTAACTCCGGCCCTGTTTCTATGAGTTGTCTCACCAAAGAAAGTCAGTGTTTTGGCGCCGTTCAAGGCACGCGTCTTTGTATGTTATCAATAAATAAATCAGAATTGTATTCTAACCGACCAATTTACATTAGATCCATAAATTGATTCTTGTCTTCATACCAAACATGTCCCCTCCATATCAAATATTGTCCTCCGAATCTAGAAGACTGAAGTCTCACGTTTAGGAATACTCAATGTCCCCTCCTCATATAAATACTTTGTTAATATAGTATTTATAACAGGGCGAAAAAACCTAATAGAAACAGAATCCATGCATCTTACCCGCTTCAGATTTTCAATCATGATAAACATCTAGACGAAATTACATAATTTTCTCTCCTGGTTGTACCTATTGCATTAATAATGATTATTTAATATCTATACATTGAGACTGCAAATGCAGAACATTTAACGGTGAACCATGTCAATTATAAGAATTAATGTCAGAACGTCGGCTTTATCACAATTTGTTCTTCGTCGCCGTCATCGTCGGAGTGTCCCCTCCGGACCACATACAGGACAGTAATAATACAACTTCCAACACGTTCGCTGGATGTCTCCTCTGAACGAACCAGTCCGCGGGTAAGTACAAAGAAATCCATTCTTCAAAATGTACATGTATTTAAGCATAGTGGGCAGAACTGTTTTGTAAATACCAATATGGCGGCAGATGTCCCCTACAATGGCGGAGAGTAAAACATTCACGATTGTGTTTCAGATTGTCTGGTCATGAAAATAGTACATTTCAGATTCATGTCACAGATATTATACAGTACGTTGTGATATTCTAGGTGTTGGACTAATCAAATATATTTTGACACAAATATCACATCTTCGATCATACATCATCTAGAATGGAGCAATCATAAGTCATTATACACAAACAGTTCTCTTGTATAATAATTTTCATGGTGATTCTGCGAAAATCCACGAGCATTTAAAAAATATCGTGTACGATGGATTGAAAACTGGATAAAATGTTGCGCATAGTATTATTTTGTGTTATTTGTGTATAATATGACTACTGATACTGTTGCCGGATGTCATTTATATATATATATATATGTTCACACATACTATAAACAGCAGTGATGACCATACACATCATTATCACAGAAATACCTGTATATTGAAGTACCAGGTGCTCTCCCACACCAAGGTCTCTCGTGCGTACTAGTCTGGGTCAACTAGTGATTAATAGTTGTAAAACATCAAGTTTAAATGTTATTTCTCGCTTAAATTACGTCCGAATGAAAGCCTCTGTGTCATGTATGTTTCCCACAGTGTTACTCATAATTGTCTGTTATCACAATCTGTTACAGGTAGGCAATGTGATTCTCAGGAATGAAACAGGAAAAACATCATATCTTTGCCAGTTGCTTTGGTCATCCGATTCCCAATCATTTCTTCTTCGAACCTTTATTACCCTTCAATTAGCATGGTTGATTCGGAGATTCACTTCTGACATCGCGGAACTTTTTATTAAGTGATTATCTTATACTTACAAACAGCAGACCTAAAGATCTCTACTGTATGCTTCTCGGGTAGTATTGCTTATGATTTTTGAAATACAACATGTCTTAAATGTTTTTGTATTATTCCGACATCATTTATTTAATTTATTTACCACTCGACTAATGCACGTCTTTATTTACCATAGTGACGAGAGGGATTTTATAGATGCTACACATACTGCCCACTGGTCTATCAGATCATGACAGTATAAAATTCTGAAGCAAAAAAAATGGAGCTCGTCTTGCATCGACATTGTCGTAAAATACTGAGTGGTAGAAGCTGGAAGTAGTTTGGAGTAAAATGGTTTGGTGTTTTTCACCCCTTTTCAACATGCTAGATGTAGTAAATTACATAGTAACATTCATATTTAAAGTCGCAAAAGCATTATGGTTCAATTTAAATAGTTTATAGATTAAAAAAAGTATTTTGACTGTCTAAGATATTTTCGCTCTGATTACAAATTTAATATGTGATTCGTTTCGTTTTATTCACAGGTAGCATTTTACACCTATCTGTTTCCTTTACATACGTCATAAAATCTTAAATATTGATAAACCCGACCGGTATGGCGGACGCAGAAGAAATTTTCGGAAGCGATGCAGAATCAGACAATGGTTAGTGGCTCTTGTCTCTCTGACAGATCGGTATAAATGTATTGGCACGATAAAACATACTACGCTGTTGCCTTGAATATTTCTGATTGTTAAGCAGTGGCCAAGTATGCAAGAAAATACTAATTTCACGTGGTGCCATAATGCACGCGATTCCTGTTTTGACGAAGAAAATAACTGACCATGGACTCGGGTAGTTTGTAACATCATAGTAAGCCTCGCTAGGTTAGAGGTAAATTCATGATCAATCGACACCGAGCGTAACTTGCTCGCTTCGCTAGACAGCAGTATTTGACATGATCAGGTACTAGAGCACTGTCAAATCGTTGGCTTTATGTGGGTACTGGAGCAGCGATGATCCCTTTTGATTCCTCCTTGGGTCTCATATATACATATGACGTTTGACAGTGTCCCTCGTGTTTTCAAACGTCCGATATAAATGAAGAATCACAAAAAGCGACAAGAGCATCGGAAATTCTGGCTATTTAGACAAATTATCCTAGATGTATTAAGGGCAAAGATAAACAACATCCTTAATCGCTCTTTCGCCAATGCAACTTTTAAATCGCCAAAGAATTTCAGTTTCACCATTAGGATTATTCTGGATGTGTGATCTACATTAAGTGTATGATACATGATTGTTCATTGATCAATATTAGTTGACATGGTTAAGTACTGTGGAAGTCTGAATGGTTCTGATCATCTATCAGTGTCAGGGTTTTTTTTCCTTTATTTTGGTTTATATTTTGAATTCCTTATATTAAAACACAAACTTTTAGTAATCCAACCATTGGTCATATTTTATTTACAACAGCTTATAAACAATACATCGATAGAAGATGAGACATTTTTCTTATCACCTGTGTAAGGTTAAAGCCATTGATGGTTGTTAACCAAATATATCAACTCAATTTTTCTTCCAACCACAGCTGTCAAGCACATTGGTAGTGGCTGCCATTTACAAATCTCATGAGTTTTATTGTTATAATCCTACCAAAGTGTAAACTCTCACGAGATTGGCACTCATTATCAAAATCTGCTTGTAACTGAGGTTGTTGTAAAAAAATAGTTGTAATAGTCTAATAATGCCATTATATTTGTATATATCAAATGTTTGCCATTTCATAGAAGCAATTTGGTGACCTAAGTTCATACAAGACAAAACAATAAGATAAATAAATAATACAGTACTCAAATTAATGAAAGAAATATAAACAGTAGTGGTCTTTTCCTGAAGTCATTTAAAACAGATATAGAAGGAAAGCTGGTTCCTTCTAAATGACTTTTGAACATAATTGATATTTTGTTTGGTTGTTTACAATAGATCAGGGAAGTGCTGCATCTGGATCTCCTGCTAGAAGCGGTTCAGGATCTGAGGGCAGTCAGCACAGTAGTCCAGCTCACAGTGGGTCCGGCAGCCCACCAGGAAGTCCCATGAGCAATGCTTCAGGTAGTGTAGCTTCAAATTCTCCCCAAGGGAGCCCCACTCACAGTGGATCTGGTAGTCCCCCAGGAAGTCCAAAAAGTGAAGCATCTGGAACACCAATAGGAAGCCCAGTGCAAAGTGGAGCATCAAATTCTCCTCCAGGGAGCCCCGCTCCAAGTGGAGGATCACAATCACCACCTGGCAGTCCTGTTGATAGCGAGGCTTCAAATTCTCCTGTAGGGAGCCCTGTTCACAGTGGAGCTTCAAATTCCCCTAGAGGAAGCCCCACACATAGTGGCTCAGGAAGCCCCCCTGGAAGCCCCAGAAGTATAGGTTCAGGATCCCCCATGGGGAGTCCAAGGTCAAAAAGCGGGTCACCAGTATCACACAGATCACATACACCAGTAGGAAGTGGGTCAGGGAGTCCACCAGGCAGTCCACACTCGGGAAGTGAAAGTGCTCAGTCAAGGTCAGGGTCTAGGTCAAGATCTAGGTCAAGGTCACGTTCTAAATCAGGAAGTCGTTCAAGGAGTGGAAGTCCGGCCAGTAAAGGATCAAAAGGAAGTCGACACAGCAGTCCCCTGGGGACGCCTGGTGGAGGAAGTGGTAGTGAAGCTAGCAGACAAGGAACACCTGTTGGGTCAGGTTAGTATACCAACTTTTATATGGGATTTGTTTGAGTCAGTCAAAGTAACAGAATGTGGTTTTTTGAAGTCTGTTTTTAGGTCATCTGACCCAAAGGGTCGAGATGACCTATAGCCATCATGCTTCGTTCGTCGTGCATCGTCCGTCGTCCGTAAACTTTTCATTCAAAAAACTTCTTCTCAAATACTAGAAGGCCTGGGGGGCTAATACTTGACCCATAGCATGCTGGCATGGAGCCCTACAAAGTTTGTCAAATTAATGACCTTGACCCACTTTCAAGGTCACAGGGATCAAATATGTTAAAATATACAAACAACTTCTTCTCAATAAGCAAAAGTCCAAGAGTGCTGATATTGGGCCTGTAGGATGCTTGGAGGAAGGCTACCACGTTTCTTCAAATAAATGACCTCAACCCACTTTCAAGGTCACAGGGGTCAAATATGTTAAAATATACAAACGACTTGTTCTCAATAAGCAAAAGTCCAAGAGTGCTGATATTAGGCCTGTAGGATGCTTGGAGGAAGGTCTACCATGTTTTTTCAAATGAATGACCTCAACCCACTTTCAAGGTCACAGGGGTCAAATATGTTAAAATATACAAACGACTTGTTCTCAATAAGCAGAAGTCCAAGAGTGCTGATATTGGGCCTGTAGGATGTTGGAGGAAGGGCTACCAAGTTTGATCAAATAAATGACCTCGACCCACTTTCTAGGTCACAGGGGTCAAATATGTTAAAATTTTTAAACAACTTCTTCTCAACAACCAAAGGCTCAGAATGCTGATATTGAGTCTGTAGGATGCTGGGATGAAGGGCTACCAAGTTTGTTCAAATGAATGACCTTGACCCACTTTCAATGTCACAGGGGTCAAATATATTTATAATATACAAACTACTTCTTCTCAATAAGCAAAAGTCCAAGAGTGCTGATAATGGACCTGTAGGATGCTGGGATGACATGCTACTAAATTTGTTCAAATGAATTACCTTGACCCACTTTCAAGGTCACAGGGGTTAAATATGTTAAAATATGCAAATGACTTCTCAATAATCAAAATGATTAGAGTGCTGATATTGGGTCTGTAGGATGCTTTGAGGAAGTATTACCAAATGTGTTCAGGTGAATGACCTTGACCCACTTTCAAGATCACAGGTTCAAATATGTTAAAATCCGTAAACAACTTCTTCTCAGTAACCAAAAGGCTCAGAGTGCTGATATTGGGCCTGTAGGATGCTGGGAGAAAGGGCTACCAAGTTTATTCAAATGAATAAAGCCCACTGTTTTAATGGCAGACTCACTGTTGTTAGAGTTTGACTTGCTTTTTGTCAGATGACCATTAAGGCCCATGGGCCTCTTGTTATTTATTTTAAATTTGTTAAAATGAAAAAAATGAAACTACATGTATTTATGTTTACCTTTTTCATAAGTAATATTTATCATATTTTAAAACTTGATCATATAAAACATTACATCATCTAACAGCACACAGTGGGAGTGACTCTGATGATTCATTCATTGGCCGAAAGAAAAAAGAAAAAGTACCACGTGGAAGTGAGGATGAGGAATCTGGAGGCGAGGAGAATGGCCAAACGGTCGAAGGTAAAATATCTCATATTTCCCAGGTTTTTATAATGACTCGAGGTTCATGCCAACAGACGCCAATGTCACATTTTGTGATAAAAAATGTAATTGGCAATTTCTAGTTGGCAACAAAAATTCAGATTGATTTTGTAAAATCCTATTGAAAAAGAGCTGATAGTCCATTCATTCATGTAATACATGTTATACTGGTCATCAGGCAGTCTTGTTTAGTTGTATTCACAGCCCCAATTAACTATGTAGTGTCATGCCACATCTACTAATCCCCTCCGACCAGTAGGTTCCTGACAATCTGTGTGTACATAGACTTAAGGTCTCTGGACAGGCAGCCAACTTGGATTTTAAAGATTGTTATTGCTATTTCTGAAGTACTGAATGGATATCTTTCAAATTTCATACATATTTTTCCTTTTGGTCTCTCCTTGTGAGCATCTGGTTTTGGCACTGATCAGAAGAAACAAAATGGCTTCAAGGTGGCCATTTTGGATTTGGCAGGTAGAGATTATCATTTCTGCAAAGGAATGTTTAGATGTCTTATCATTAACAGCAAAAACAGAGAAATGAAGGGAATAGATCCAGCTTTTGAAGAACATGTAAAGATAAAAAAAATGGAGGGCACAAGATCCCTCTGGATCTCTTGTTTCATAAAATATGAATTACATGTTCATGACAATACTACCTGGTATGTTTTTTTCTTAAGCTACCTTGCATGTTTAAGACCTTATTGAAACAAAAGTACTGAAACTGAAGGTGAATTATTTATTACTGTTCATATGAATATTTAATCATATATGAAACAATTAACTTTATTATTCAAACATAATTTTTGACCCAATTTTATTTTGGCTCCTAAATTTATCATTTGGTGAAAAAAAATTGTTGATTTTTTGTGCAAGAATTTTAAAGCTGGTGTGACCCCTGTGACTGATAAGTGGGTAACACAGAGACCTTTTCCTTAGGGGATGTAAATCTTGTTTGTAAATTGTCAATAGTAGATAATGTTTTTTAAGCATTTTATCGCCCAAGATCAAGACACCTACATAACATTACAAGATCTGTCCTCTCACAAGAGGGCTCTCGTTCTCCACACACATCATTCACACAGTCCATACTTTCAAATTACATGTACATGCTCCTTTAAAAATGCACATTTTACTGTGTATAAACATTTTAAGAACTAAATAAGTGGGGAAAACAGGGCTAAGAACCAACATCCATTCTAGTGTAGATCAGGAAAAGTTAATTTTCTAGGTCCCAGTGGATCCCAAAGGGATGCAGGGCGCTCTTCGCAGGCCCAAACATGTCGGCAGTCACAGTATTACTACACCTGGCCTCAGCTGTTGTGCTCTTCCTACTATTTTGATTTTAAGAACTAATTAGGTGATAAATATAAAAATTATTCTCTGATGTTCAAGTTGATCAATCAAATATTGACAAATCACTGTTGTTTTCCCTTTGTTGGTACATCCAGGAGTAAAGAGGGAGATGAATCCCAAAAAACTTTTTTCCAAGGACTCCATAAAGTTTTTCAACAAGAAAAAAAAAATAAGGAAGAATAAAAGAGGGCCCCATGCCTCACCCTGCCAGAAATCAAAGGCCATATCATCAGAAAATACATATCTCATGAATAAAAAGCATAGAAAGAAAAAATGTGTAATTTCTTTGTTCAAAAAGACAGTGTAAAAAAGAGGTCAAGCTGACTGATTTGTTTTGATAAATTTTGGTAAGGAGAGGAAGTTATGGTGTCATTTTGTTGATGTACAGCTTTGTTATGTTGTAGCGACTGTTGACGATCTGTTTGGGGACGCTGCTGATATCAGCTCAGATGAAGAGGAGGAAGATAAAGACAAAGAAGAAAAGAAATCTGATAATGAGATGAGAGAGGATGATGAAGATCGGGACAGAGAGAGGGTGAATAAAGCATTATACTTATTATGATAACAAGCTTATCATTTTACATCTGTCACTGAGAGAGAATAGACGTTTGATATAACCTCACATAGAATGGATTCCTTTGTTAATTAATGCCACACCCTTCCCCTCAGAGTGGTCACATTTCCTATTGGTGTAACACTCAATACGATATCAGCTTTAATAGATTATAAAATGCTGGTAGGAATAACTTCATGATTGAAGGGAGATAACTCTTGTTTTAGATGCCTGGTGAGGAAGAAGAGGAGGAGCCACCAGAAACGAGAATTGAAGTGGAGATTCCTCGCATCATAACAGACCTGGGCAAGACAGTCCACTACGTCAAATTACCTAACTTCCTCAGTGTCGAGACAAGGTATGTGTATCATTACAGACCTGGACAACAACTACCCACCTTGTCAAATAACCTAACTTTCTCAGTGTCGAGACAAGGTATGTGTATCATTACAGACCTGAACAACAACTGTCCACAGTTTCAAATGACCTAACTTTCTCAGTGTCGAGACAAGGTATGTGTATCATTACAGACCTGGGCAAAACAGTCCACAGTTTCAAATGACCTAACTTTCTCAGTGTCGAAACAAGGTATGTGTATCATTACAGACCTGAACAACAACTGTCCACAGTTTCAAATGACCTAACTTTCTTAGTGTTGAGACAAGGTATGTGTATCATTACAGACCTGGGCAAAACAGTCCACAGTTTCAAACTGCCTAACTTCCTCAGTGTTGAGACAAGGTATATAACATTACAGACCTAGACAACAAAACACAAGTAAAAAATCCCACTTTTTCAAACCTGATCACCAGAATATCCCTGTCACTGTGTGTTTTATTTTTACAGACTGCTAGATGCTAGTTGACTGACTGCAAATGGGGGACATATAGCATAGCTATGTCTCTCTTGTCCCATCACATAGTATCCTGTCCCAATTCAATGTAAACTCCTAGCAACTCTCATGTTTTGACCAATTTTGATCAAACTTCATACAAATGTAAATAACGAGTATGCTACAGACATTGTTGTTTTTCAGGGGCCTGAGGTCAAGGTCACCCCTGCTATATATAGAAATCCATCAACTGATTCAAGTTAAACACCAAGCAATTTCATTCTTCCTTGGAATCTGGTCAAACTTTAGACAATGATCAAGTATCTGTTTATTTTGAACATTGTTGTGTTTCAGGGCCACAAGGTCAAGGCCAGTATGTATTACATGTATTTACTAGTGTTGATATAGATGATTTTGTCTCTTTAATACTATATGTTTTGTTTGTACAGGCCATATGATGCTAGTGTTTATGAAGATGAAATAGATGAAGATGAAGTGTTGGATGAAGAAGGTCGTGCCAGGACAAAACTGAAGGTAAACACAATCCAATAAGTAAAGTGTTACTTAAAAAATCATCATTTTTTTTCGGGGATTTTTTTATGTTGATTCCATGAGTTTTTTAATTCACAAACTCCACGTCATCAAATTGTTTAAATAGGATGAAATCAATTCAGTGTCACAACAGTACTTTGTCCTGTAGCAAATTTCCAGCAAATTCTCAGATGCCCATGCCTACCACTATCAGCAGACACATACAACAAAAACACCATGATATAACTAAAGTCAAAAGCACTGGCACAGAAAAAAGAGCCTGTATTTATTAGCAAAGGCAAAAAAACTTGTTATTTTAAAGAAAGTGTTCTGGTTTACAGGTAGAAAACACAGTGAGATGGAGGACGGTAAAGGATGAGGAGGGTGCTCCTATATTAGATGATAATATGGTTCCAATGAAGGAAAGTAATGCCAGAATTGTTCGCTGGTCTGACGGCAGGTGTGTCCTTTCAATATTTATGTTTATTTACATCAATTATACATAAGTTCAATGTGTTAACTATCCTATAAACCATATGTCTCATAATCCACTGTTTAAAAGGCCAGGATACTCAGTCAGTACAGGGCCAGGATACTCAGTCAGTACAGGGCCAGGATACTCAGTCAGTACAGGGCCAGGATACTCAGTCAGTACAGGGCCAGGATACTCAGTCAGTACAGGGCCTGGATACTCAGTCAGTACAGGGCCAGGATACTCAGTCAGTACAGGGCCAGGATACTCAGTCAGTACAGGGCCAGGATACTCAGTCAGTACAGGGCCAGGATACTCAGTCGGTACAGGGCCAGGATACTCAGTCAGTACAGGGCCTGGATACTCAGTCAGTACAGGGCCAGGATACTCAGTCAGTACAGGGCCAGGATACTCAGTCAATATAGGGCCTGGATACTCAGTCAGTACAGGGCCAGGATACTCAGTCAGTATAGTGCCAGGATACTCAGTCAGTATAGGGCCAGGATACTCAGTCAGTACAGGGTCAGGATACTCAGTCAGTACAGGGCCAGGATACTCAGTCAGTATAGGGCCAAGATACTCATTCAGTACAGGGCTAGGATACTCAGTACAGGGCCAGTGTACTCAGTCAGTACAGGGCCAGGATACTCTATCAGTACAGGGCCAGGATACTCGGACAGTATAGGGCCAGGATACTCAGTCAGTACAGGGCTAGGATACTCAATCAGGATACTCAGTATAGTGCCAGGATACTCAGTCAGTATAGGGCCAGGATACTCAGTCAGTACAGGGCCTGGATACTAAGTCAGTACAGGGCTAGGATACTCAGTCCATACAGGGCTAGGATACTCAATCCATACAGGGCCTGGATACTCAGTACAGGGCCAGGATACTCAGTCAGTACAGGGCCAGGATACTCAGTCAGTACAGGGCCAGGATACTCAGTCAATATAGGGCCTGGATACTCAGTCAGTACAGGGCCAGGATACTCAGTCAGTACAGGGCCTGGATACTCAGTCAGTACAGGGCCAGGATACTCAGTCAGTACAGGGCCAGGATACTCAGTCGGTACAGGGCCAGGATACTCTGTCAGTATAGGACCAGGATACTCAGTCAGTACAGAGTCAGGATTCTCAGTCAGTACTGGGCCATGATACTCAGTCAGTACAGGGCCAGGATACTCAGTCAGTCTGTACTGTCATGGTTGTGTCCTTGGATTCTAAATTGCTCTGGATGACATGCTATTTGCCTTCCATATGTTGTTCAATGTAGGTAGTCACAAGCTACTACAAGGAGACTCCACCTCTTAGCAAAACAGAAAAAGAAAGTTTACATTTTGGTGAATTTAAAAGTCTGAAAACAAGAATGTGAATTTCAGCAATATTCACACATGAGATTTTGCATCATTTTGTATATTTGATGTCTTAAGTGCCATAAACATCATAGGATTGGTGACTTAAAGACAAGATCCTTGACAAATGAGATATTTGTATTGTTTCAGTATGTCTCTACACCTTGGTGAGGAAATCTTTGATGTACACACGATGCCGATACAGGGCGACTTTAACCATCTGTTTGTACGACAGGGGACTGGTCTTCAGGGACAGAGTGTCTTTAAAACAAAGCTCGCCTTTAGGTATGGTATATCTTACCTCCCGTTGATGTTATCTATCTTTGGAGAAACAGACTATAATTTACTATATTACAAGCATTCTTTATATTCCATGTCTTCTTCATTTATCTTTTGTGACACAGACTATATGCTATTTCTTTGTGCGACATAAAGTTAGACATATTTGATGCTTGTTAGTTTGCCTGTTTGTTCCATTGTACATAGCGGGTGTTGTTGATGAAGCAGAAGATACTTACTCTTCCAGAACACCTGGTCTTTTTCACTTTGTACTTTTTCTGGATTCTTCATGTAAATCTTTCTTTTGTTCATGTTATGCCCTGGTTTTATGGAATTCGAGTTTGAATTATGATTATGTTGTCGTGTTGGTTTTTATACTATATGATAATCCTGGCTTATATTCTGTCTTAATTTGTGGCAATTAACTTTCACAGATTTGTTTCTGTTGCAAAAAATAATCAATCCTAAGACTTGTGATATGATTGACAATGATATTTCATTTCCAGAGCCACACTCCAATATAGGGCCAGTCCTTCACACATAGAAAGATGACAAGGTTGTCCAGTTAGCTGACAGGTCAAGTAAGGGACAGGAAGAGTCAGTACAGGGCCAGGATACTCAGTCAGTACAGGGCCATGATACTCAGTCAGTACAGGGCCAGGACTACTGCAGGAGTGAAATGTCATGGTTGTGTCCTTGGATAAATTGCTCTGGATGACATGCTATTTGCCTTCCATATGTTGTGTGGTAGTCACAAGCTACTACAAGGAGACTCCACCTCTTAGCAAAACAGAAAAAGAAAGTTTACATTTTGGTGAATTTAAAAGACTGAAAACAAGAATGTGAATTTCAGCAATATTCACACATGAGATTTTGCATCATTTTGTATATTTGATGTCTTAAGTGCCATAAACATCATAGGATTGGTGACTTAAAGACAAGATCCTTGACAAATGAGATATTTGTATTGTTTCAGTATGTCTCTACACCTTGGTGAGGAAATTTTTGATGTACACACGATGCCGATACAGGGCGACTTTAACCATCTGTTTGTACGACAGGGGACTGGTCTTCAGGGACAGAGTGTCTTTAAAACAAAGCTCGCCTTTAGGTATGGTATATCTTACCTCCCGTTGATGTTATCTATCTTTGGAGAAACAGACTATAATTTACTATATTACAAGCATTCTTTATATTCCATGTCTTCTTCATTTATCTTTTGTGACACAGACTATATGCTATTTCTTTGTGCGACATAAAGTTAGACATATTTGATGCTTGTTAGTTTGCCTGTTTGTTCCATTGTACATAGCGAGTGTTGTTGATGAAGCAGAAGATACTTACTCTTCCAGAACACCTGGTCTTTTTCACTTTGTACTTTTTCTGGATTCTTCATGTAAATCTTTCCATTGTTCATGTTATGCCCTGGTTTTATGGAATTGGAGTTTAAATTATGATTATGTTGTCGTGTTGGTTTTTATACTATATGATAATCCTGGTTTATATTCTGTCTTAATTTGTGGCGATTAACTTTCACAGATTTATTTCTGTTGCAAAAAATAATCAATCCTAAGACTTGTGATATGATTGACAATGATATTTCATTTCCAGGCCACACTCCACCGAGTCCTTCACACATAGAAAGATGACCTTGTCCTTAGCTGACAGGTCAAGTAAGACACAGAAGGTCAAGGTTGTTCCTATCTCAGGTCGTGACCCTGACTACTGCAGGAGTGAAATGATCAAGGTAGGATGATAGCTCTGTAACTTCTGACACCATTTGTGTGGAGGAATTTGATAGATATCTCTATCCTAAGCTAGGTGTGGTAAATACAAAAATTAAAACCGAATGTGTAGAGCTTCTTCAGATTTGTTTTTGACCTACTTTATGAATGTGATACAGAGTTATCTCAATAATACAAAGGTCTAGAATAAAAAAATTCAGAAATATTTAACTATAACACAAACTACATTTTAAGCATCAAGTTCATTTCCTCAGTTTGAATGCAAAAGATATAAACCTAAAAATGATAAAATTTGAAACACATAACTGTAAAATTAAAGGTCACATCACTGGCATCAATTTACAAGTATAAAAATTGTTACTTTTAATGGAAAGTTGAAGATATTATCAATCAAATGGTATCACATTCCTTAGCATGGGTTTTTTGGACATGGTACTAGTGTCAGGACCTCATTTCAAGGTAAGACACATGATACTAGTGTCAGGACCTTCTTTCAAGGTAAGACACATGTGCTGGTGTCGGAACCTCATTTCAAGGTAAGCCACATGTACTGGTGTTAGGACCTCATTTCAAGGTAAGACACGTGTACTGGTGTTAGGACCTCATTTCAAGGTAAGACACATGTACTGGTGTTAGGACCTCATTTCAAGGTAAGACATGTGTACTGGTGTTAGGACCTCATTTCAAGGTAAGGCACATGTACTGGTGTCAGGACCTCATTTCAAGGTAAGACACATGTTAGTTGAGACCTCATTTCAAGGTAAGACACATGTACTGGTGTTAGGACCTCATTTCAAGGTAAGCACCTGGTGTTAGGACCTCATTTCAAGGTAAGACATGTGTACTGGTGTTAGGACCTCATTTCAAGGTAAGGCACATGTACTGGTGTCAGGACCTCATTTCAAGGTAAGACACATGTACTGTGTTAGGACCTCATTTCAAGGTAAGACACATGTACTGTGTTAGGACCTCATTTCAAGGTAAGACACATGTACTGGTGTTAGGACCTCATTTCAAGGTAAAACACATGTGCTGGTGTCAGGACCTCATCTTAAAGTAAGACACATGTACTGTGTTAGGACCTCATTTCAAGGTAAGACACATGTACTGGTGTTAGGACCTCATTTCAAGGTAAGACACATGTACTGTGTTAGGACCTCATTTCAGGGAAAGACACATGTACTGGTGTTAGGACCTCATTTCAAGGTAAAACACATGTGCTGGTGTCAGGACCTCATCTTAAAGTAAGACACATGTACTGTGTTAGGACCTCATTTCAAGGTAAGACACATGTACTGGTGTTAGGACCTCATTTCAAGGTAAGACACATGTACTGTGTTAGGACCTCATTTCAGGGTAAGACACATGTACTGGTGTTAGGACCTCATTTCAAGGTAAAACACATGTACTGGTGTTAGGACCTCATTTCAAGGTAAGACACATGTACTGTGTTAGGACCTCATTTCAGGGTAAGACACATGTACTGTGTTAGGACCTCATTTCAAGGTAAGACACATGTACTGTGTTAGGACCTCATTTCAAGGTAAGACACATGTACTGGTGTTAGGACCTCATTTCAAGGTAAGACACATGTACTGGTGTTAGGACCTCATTTCAAGGTAAGACACATGTGCTGGTGTCAGGACCTCATTTCAAGGTAAGACACATGTACTGGTGTTAGGACCTCATTTCAAGGTAAGACACATGTACTGGTGTTAGGACCTCATTTCAAGGTAAGACACATGTGCTGGTGTCAGGACCTCATTTCAAGGTAAGACACATGTACTGGTGTTAGGACCTCATTTCAAGGTAAGACACATGTACTGGTGTTAGGACCTCATTTCAAGGTAAGACACATGTGCTGGTGTCAGGACCTCATTTCAAGGTAAGACACATGTACTGGTGTTAGGACCTCATTTCAAGGTAAGACACATGTACTGGTGTTAGGACCCAATTTTGAGATAAGCCTTGTACTGTTTAGTGTAACATCATGAATAGATTTTGCTTGTCTACAGATACTTCCATTAAAATATTTTTGACAGAAAGAGGAAGAGAAATTACGCGCAGCTATTCGTCGAGAAAGTCAGGTACGTCGTACAAGAGAGCGATCACATGGTGGAGGTCTCACACGAGGATTCCTGGAAGGAGATGAGGAGGACGATGATGATGAAGGCGAGATCTCTATAGCAGCCATCAAAAAGCACTACAAACAGAACAAAAAAGGTCAGTAGTAAATAATCAATAATTACACCAGGAAGGTCAACGTCAGATATTGTAAAATCTCCTAACTAGGGGCTAATGTGATTCTTTATCAAGATTTCAATATTTTTAGCCAATCATCATCATCCTACATTCATGGTATATCATCCATCCGTCTTTTCCTCCGTTCATAAAACATTTTCTTAACGCTATTTCATGAGAAGTACTGGATGGATCTTTCTCAAATTTTGTACATAGGTTCCCCTTGATCCCTAGTTGTTCCAGTTCGATTTTGCTTGGTTAGAAAAACAAAATGGCCGACAGATTACCATCTTGTATTTTTTCAATGACGATTGTTATGACTATTTCTTGAAATGTACTGGAATGATCTTTCTCAAATTTCATATGTGGGTTCCCATTGATCTTTTGTTGTGCCAGTTAGATTTTGGATCTAATCAGAGAAACAAAATGGACGATAGACAGCTATCTTCGATCTCGCCTAGACAAGTTTGTTATGGCTATTTCTTGAGAAGGACTGGATAGATCTGGCTCAAATTACCTATGAAGGTTGTCCCTGGGTGTTCCCGTTTGATTTTAGCGGTGATCAGAAAAAAAATGGACGACAGGTGGCCATCTTGGATTTTGACTTTAAAAGTTTGTTTTTGCTATGTCTTGATAACTACATGGATCTTTCTCCAATTTAATGAGTGAGTTACCCTTGTTTGTTAGTTTTGTTTGTTTAATTTTGGGACTGATCAGAAAAAACAAAATGGCTTCTAGTGAGCCTTCTTGGATTTGACAGTGAAAGATTATTATCGCTATTTCTGCAAAGGATTGAAGTTCAAATTCATTATCATTAAGAGCAAAAACAGAGAAAAGAAGGAAAAATACCCAACTTTCAGTGAACAGATCAGGATCAAACAATGGTGGGCGCCAAGATCCCTCTGGGATCTCTTGTAAGATAACAAGATGTTTTGATTAGATACGAAAATGTTTACTATACCATGCCTCACTGTGTAGGTTTCCTCATGTTATATCAGTCTCTGTCCTGGAAAATTCATCAATAAAATGCCCCATCCTGTATGGTTTGTCCTCACACCTGCCAGGCTCTGTTCTTAACATGGTTACAATAATTTGTCTGACCCTGTTGTGTTTATCTTTGTGTCACGCTGTCCTCTGTCTTAGTAAATTTCATAGATTTGATTATAGTAATGATTGTATAATAACTGGAATCTTGCAGAGAAACAGCAAATCTATTCATCTGACAGTGACGATGCCTACGACTCTGATCGGGAGAAAAGCAAGGCTAAACGGCTGATGAATGCAAAGAAAGGCGTGATGGAGAGCGATGAGGTATGTCTAAGTGACTTTTACTATAAAGTCAGTATATGTTGGCCTTAAGGTACTCTTTGATAAAGGATGGTTTTAATACCATATCTTGACCTGTAAGGTCTTGTTCATGGGTGATGACCTTCAAAAGACTATTTCATGTAAATAAGCACTGGTCTCTAAATTAAATTTGGTTTGTGTAATAATTTTAGTTTTGTGAAATTTTGAGGATTATAAAGTTTAGTTTGAGACATGAGTTCTCTGATTGTCAGAAAATGGCAGATTCTGTACCACATAAAGGTCTAGGAGTATCAGGATTGAAAACTGATGATAAAAGATGTGAGATTTTATGAGGAATTTTGGCAGAAATGCAGATCTTTTTTTGCTTAATTGCAATTTTATTAAAGGACACAAGGGAGGTAACAGAGTGTCTGATGTTTCAGGGTTCTGACTCTGATGCTGGTGGGCCAAAAAAGAAGAAAGCAAGGATTGTAGAAAGTGATGATGAGGATGCTGAGATGGAAGAAGATGGAGGAGACAAGGAAGATGATGCAGGGAGTGAAGGAAGTGATGGAGGAGGGAAAGAAAGGGGAACAGCCTCTGGGGGATCAGATTCTGAGTAGGGAGTGAAGGGGGAAGGGAAGAAGGGGAAACAACCTAAGGGGGTCAGATTCTGAGTAGTAAATGTCGGGAAACAGTAAGGGGGTCAGATTCTGAGTAGGAAATGTAAGGAGTGAAGAGGGAGGTAAGAAGAGGGAACAGCCTCTGGGGGTCAGATTCTGAATAGGAAATGTAAGGAGTGAAGAGGGAGGTAAGAAAGGGGAACAGCCTCTGGGGGTCAGATTCTGAGTAAGAAATGTAAGGAGTGAAGAGGGAGGTAAGAAGGGGGAACAGCCTCAGGGGGATCAGATTCTGAGTAGGAAATGTAAGGAGTGAAGAGGGAGGTAAGAAGAGGGAACAGCCTCTGGGGGTCAGATTCTGAATAGGAAATGTAAGGAGTGAAGAGGGAGGTAAGAAGGGGGAACAGCCTCTGGGGGTCAGATTCTGAGTAAGAAATGTAAGGAGTGAAGAGGGAGGTAAGAAGAGGGAACAGCCTCTGGGGGTCAGATTCTGAATAGGAAATATAGGGAGTGAGGGAAGAATGGGGAACTGACTCTGGGGGTCAGATTCTGAGTAGTAAATGTAGGGAGTGAAGGGGGGGAGGGAAGAAGGGGGAACTGCCTCTGGAGGTCAGATTCTGAATAGAGATGTAGGGAGTGATGAGGTGGGGAGGAAAGAAGGGGAACAGTTTCTGGGAGGATGGGGTTCAGATTCTGAGCAGATAGGGTTAAGGATGAATGAACAGGAACTGGGGTTGTATTCTTCACAGGAAAACAAAGAGAAAAAGAAGTACAACACATGTTTATCAATAGATATTGAGTAGGAGTAAGTACTAGGGAGGATACTTACTATTTCACAACAAGAATGTTAGATAGAAGTGTGCATGATTGGTATACTGAGATTTTTTCAAAGTTGTAAGGGAGCATCTGTGATTTGTGAAGGTGTGATGTGAGTCCTGAATGATGTATATGTGATATTGTATGAGGGTATGTCAATAAAATATAGAAAAAATAAAACTTTATAAACACTGAAGTGTTTTGTTTTACTATAAAATTCATGATTGTTTACCATTTCCATACAGATGGGTTGGATATTATCACAACAAACTGAGGTTTTACCTATCCTGGTAAGTTAATATGAACCTGTCCTGATGTGTATTACAGGGGCCTGATAATTAGTTATAGTCTTGGTGAATATGGACCTAGGGCATATCATAGTTCTCTGTGTGACTGCCACAAAGCACCGTGGGACTGAAATACTTACCTACATGTAGTAGTCTATACACAAAGATAAATATCTTTGTGTTTAAGTTCATTGTGTCCCGTTTGTTCTGGAGCCAGGTACAAATGATACAGTAAAACTACTGTATGTAAACAGACCTAGAACGCTCAACCAAACTGTTTAAGGTATCATAGTCTATCTGTTCAAGTCAAGTAAGCTTATCGAAAACAGAACGTAGTAACAGAAATATGAATCTGAAATCTTATTGATAAGTGATTATCCTTTGTAAAATTTTCAAAAAGTGTTAAAGAAAGTAGATTTGAAATCATTTGAAAAGATGACTTTGTTAGATTAATCAATCGAAAGACAGCTTGGTAAGACGATGGTAGCTTTTGTCATATAGTTGTCGTAAGTCGTTCATAAAGCAATATTTTTAGGAAGGGATAGATGTGAAGAAAGTATGATCATTACTACCTGTTTATTTTGATATCTGCTCATAAGATAAGTTTATTTCTGATTCAGGACTTGTCCTAGTCCTCTATACCAGACTACAATACAGTATGAATACATAGTACATTCATATATCCGGTACTGGATTTGATATCTAATTCTGAATTGTTGCTTTATAATTAAAGAAAAGTTCTTGGTTTTTCCAGTGAATCTTGCAAATATCTCTGATATTTGAGGTCATTTTATAAGTATCAGTATTCCTTAAAGAACGCATACTTTTCATTTTCAAACATTTTGACATAGGGACATAATGCCTTGCACCTCAGGAAACATCTTCTCCAGAACGGAAACGTGAGCGGTCATGATTTGTCAACCTCGCTCTTCAGCAAAGGTCAGGCCGGATAGCAACACTTCTGGAATTTAATTGGTCAATAATACAACTTTCACTTTAAATCTTATAATAACAAGAAATATAATAAATAGAATTGTGAATTGCAGATGAGAATGATTAGACAATAATTATGTCCGATTCTCCTGACAAAAGAGGAGTATATGATTCGATAAAAGACATCAATATATACCTTACATACTGGTAAATAAAATTCCTTATATGTACAGATACATTATCTCAGTATTTCATCGCGGTGTTTTATGTTTGTAATTGCTTGTAAACGTGGTATATACTGAAATAAGTGAGGGTAACACACACACACACACACACACACAACACACACACACACACCCACACACACAAACACACACACACTCTCTCTCTCTCAAAATATCGAGATGTCAAAATTCACAATTCATCATCCCCGCCCCTCCCCCTCTCTTTCTCTCTCTATTTTAACAGTACATAAGATATCGAGAGGTCAAAATTCACAATTCATCATTCCAGCCCCTCCCCTCCCCTCTCTCTATTTTAACAGTACATAAGATATCGAGAGGTCAAAATTCACAATTTATCATCCCCGCCCCTCCCCCTCTCTTTCTCTCTCTCTCTCTATATTTTAACAGTACATAAGATATCGAGAGGTCAAAATTCACAATTCATCATCCCCGCCCCTCCCCTCCCCTCTCTCTATTTTAACAGTACATAAGATATCGAGAGGTCAAAATTCACAATTCATCATCCCCGCCCCTCCCCCTCTCTTTCTCTCTCTATTTTAACAGTACATAAGATATCGAGAGGTCAAAATTCACAATTCATCATTCCAGCCCCTCCCCTCCCCTCTCTCTATTTTAACAGTACATAAGATATCGAGAGGTCAAAATTCACAATTCATCATCCCCGCCCCTCCCCTCCCCTCTCTCTATTTTAACAGTACATAAGATATCGAGAGGTCAAAATTCACAATTCATCATCCCCGCCCCTCCCCCCTCTCTTTCTCTTTCTATTTTAACAGTACATAAGATATCGAGAGGTCAAAATTCACAATTCATCATTCCGCCCCTCCCCCTCTCTCTCTTTCTCTCTCTCTATTCTAACAGTACATAAGATATCGAGTTGTCCAAATTTACGATTCATCATTCCCGCCCCTCCTCCCTCTATCTATCTCTCTCTCTCTCTCTATTTTATTAGTACAGAAGAAATCGTGATGTCGAAATCCCAGTTTTTCAAACTTTTTAAACCTAATATGTAGGTGTCCTTTTTCAATGATAAAGATGCAAAATGTTTGTGCATCCTATTTCGTATTTATAACCTATTGCTGGTTGAAGCGTTCTGTGTGTTGCTTGTGAAGCTTTGAGGACTGTGTGTCTTGCCCTAAAAACCGCGACTTAATCTACGACGTGAACTTATTGTTCATCATCGTCGTGTTTCCGATCATTACTTCCTTCCTCGTCTTGGCCTCGTTCAGAGCCACGCCCACGTCCTGAACTATCGAGTGTATGATACTTAAGTCTTAATCCACTTCAATTTAATTTTCACTCAGTGTTGTTGAGACCAGGTTTGACGTTCCTGTCCTCCTTTGTAAGTATTTAACTATCTATCGCAGGTGTTAGTTATGATTAATGATCCTTAAATAGTTACGGGTGCATGTGAATCAGATAGGTTATCGAAATCCATTTTACATTTTATCGACTAACGTGTGTTTTAGTATGTTTAAGTATGAGTCATAAAACTGTGTTGAAGTTACGTCATACACTTGTACACTATTGAGAGGGAAGGAATTACTGAAACAAAAAGAAACTGAAAATGGACATTATCACAAAACGGAAACTTCTGGAAAACATTTTGTGACCTGTAATACATTTTTGCAAGAACTTCAGGTTTGTGAACCATTCATATTTCCGTAGAGCGAGGAGACATCGAATAACAGCGCGGTACAAAACATACAGACCTGTCATACCTTGACCCCGAGATTGATGGGCTCCTATTTATTCTTACTAATTTTATGAAGCTGTTATAACCACTCGAACACCACGTTACGACGAATTATGTTATTTTTACGTTATAGGATGACGTTATTTTGTCAAACAATAGAAACACGTTTCATGCGGGGTGACGCTAATTTTCTGTAAGTACTTCAGAAGACGCGATGTGAAATGACGTAAGCAGTGAGTATGACGTCACAGTAAAGGAAACATGAGGTCATTAATGCCAGGAATAGTCGATCACAACCTTCGGTTCGAGTGACGTCAGGGTAATGTTTCCAACATCAAAACATGTTAATTTCCAAAGGCGGTGTTCATTTTCTTTTTTAAATTTCACTGCAATATTTTTTTCGTGTCTTTCAGACATTGGAAGGAAGGCATTGTTTGTTTGTTTTCGGAAATTTCTTTATTGTCGACTATGTGCTATTTAACACTCCGTCAGTCCGTTCTATCGATCATTTTCATATTACTCTCTCTGTGTCCCGTGTAGATCTGACCTGAACACCGCGGGGCGCCGTGTAATCTCACCCATCAATGCTTTCTGTGTACTGGCAGTAAAAGTGACGTCACAAGTAATCGATAACTTACCAATGCATCTCATAATCTCGCTACACACACACCACACACCATCACCCGCGCTCAGCCTCTGTAGCCGGGTTCTCGGGGAAACAAGACGGTACAAGATATTTCAGGGTATGTAGCTTTGTGTAATTGTATATACATATATTATACAGTCTGTAATATTGTCAGTTTCTTTGAAAGCAACCTCGAATATAGTGTAGCGTGTGGAATGAACACCATCTCCAAACATGGTGGAACGTGTGGGATAAATGCGAGTGTGTCCGTGTTATTTAGAAGTGATTGTTCACAAGACTTGTACTATTTAGAGAACAAGGTGTAGATCTACTTCACTGCTGACACGCTTTAAAATATCAACATATGAAGATAATACCCGCTACACAGTAAGTATAAACCTGTACTGTC